AGCTTTTGTTTCCCAAGTTATCTTGATGCAGAAAGTTCACAATCAGCAAGGGACCCTTTGCCGCTGCACCCCCTCAATGGCCTATACCACATTTTGCAGGTATCCCTTCGGCTCATTCCTCATCACAGGATTCTCTGTGCCAGCCACTGACCTACAACATAAGTCCATGTTAAAGGTATGTTCATAGACAGCAGGTCAGAAGATCTCAGAAGGCAGTTTATGGGAAGGAGAAAGACCTTGTGAGTGAGTCTTCCTCAGTATTGAGGAGGCAGCCCTGGAGACACAAGCAGCTCCTATCCAGGTTTTCAAGGTGGTAGTATCAACAGTGCAGAGAAGTGAAGGATGAAATAAAGGATAAGGGTAGGATTACACAGGGGTTTTCAGTCAGTGGTGAGAATGGAGATGAACAGCTGCAAAAAGGACAACAACAGACAGCAAGACTGCAAGGAAAATCAGTGAAGGAGGTTTCTTAGTAGCCAAAACAAGAAGAAAAAGAGGATTTGACAGAATATCAATTTCTGGAATAGAAAACAAGGAATACATCTCTGAGGTGATACACTGGTTAAACAGCAGCTTTCAGATTAGGGTGGGGAAACAGAAGTAGAAGAAAAAAGAAGTCTAATCTAAGACCCACATCAGGTTCTAGTGATGTTGTTACTGATAATAGAGACAAGGGTCTGGTGCCTGTTTCTCAACACTCCCTATCTCACAGTGAAAACCTTTCCCTTGTTATACGGTCTTAGAATCCTCCAGGATTAACAACATCCATTTTCTAAAATAGAAAGACACCAGGAATGACAAATACTTTCTCAGTAGGAAATGGACAACAGAAAAAAACCACATAAGAAGTCACTGTCCTTTCTCTGTCTGTCTATTCCTCAGAAATAATTTCTATTAGAGGAATTATAAAAGAAGTATGTTAGCAACTACATTTTTTTAAACACATCCAACCACAAAAGAAAGCTGTTTTAAAGTAGTGTGGGTTCAAGTTGTTACTAGTCTGTTGCCACAAAAGTATTTATAGAAATACTTCTGCAGTTAGTTTTTTAAGGTTATTGTATGGTATCATACTCATTTCACATCCTACTCTGAGATGATTCAGGTCTTCCACAGGGATGTGGCCTTCAGGGCATAACAAATTGCACAGTTATGAGTCATAAGAACCTTTGCAGAACTGGCCAGACACACTATAAATTCACCCTACCCTTCATGTGAACTGTAGAAACCTTGGAGACACCCAGAGCAGCAGTGTTTCTCCCTGCGCAAAACAAGGTAATTATTTCTAGAGATTATTTATTTACTGTACACTTGGATGATGTTGCTTTGTTGACAAATGCAAAGGAAAAAGGCAGCAGGGATCTGAATTGGAAACAACAAATGCCTGGGAAAGTAATTTACTAAGATGGCATAGGAATAGTTTAGAAGGTGGATGTCTTAAAAATATACAGGAAGAGCAATTTATTTTACAGAGCTTTATAATTTTCAGAGCTTACTGGTTAGCGTATATATCATAGCAGAGTAAGAGCCACTGTGTTTGCTTAAGTCAGCTAATTTGTTCCTGTGCACTTCTGTTTTACAAACATTGGGTCAGCTCCCAGTTTGCAAGCTGCTCAGGACACAAACTGTCTTTATTCTAAGGCCATCCTATACAAACCATAATAGCTCCTTGTCCCTGCCTAGAGCTCTCAGCTAAACTGCAATGCGAATGACAAATAGCAGCATTTGTGGTCTACTGAATATGGAAATCTCATCCTGCAGAGGAACTGGGAAGCTAGGATTTGGGCTAGTGCAGTAAGACTGAGTTTCAGGACATTTTTGAAAGTCAAAAAGGGAATTCAGGATGCTTAGCATGCAATAGTTGGGTCAGTGCATGCCTAAGCATTGGAAGGAGTAGTTTGTCTTGTTCTAAAGGAATAGTTTAGCTGTTACTGTTACCAGAGTATTTGTTCACTACTGTTATGAACATCAAAATGCTCTTGCACAAATTGAAGCATAAATGTTGTCATAAGAGAAAGTCTCTCAGCATCCTCTAGCTCAGGCACTGGTGAGTAATATTATCAGGTGTCATGACAAGCTGCTGTAAAGGACAGTGCAATAAATGTCCTCCTGATGAACAAATACAACAAGGTTGGAGGCTGCTTATTCCCTAACCCAAATGATAGCTAGCCTTATCAGTGACACAGAACATGCTAAACCTTCTCTGACTTTATAATAGTTATTCCTTCTCATTTTTCATATAGATACATACTTCTAGAAAGCCTTTACATTGCAAAAGAAACTTCAAAACTGAAGAGAAACTTGCAGACACGTACCAGTCATAGTACATAGAACAACTGTTCACTAATAGCACCTTTTCTCCCTTTCTGTGCAGGTTCAGAACAATGGAAGCTTTGAATAAAGCAAATACAAGCTTTGCCCTCGACTTTTTCAAGCTTGAGTGTCAGGAAGATGGTAACAAGAATATTCTGTTCTCCCCTTTGAGTATTTCAACTTCCTTGGCTACTGTTTATTTGGGAGCCAAAGGTAACACTGCCGATGAGATGGCAAAGGTGAGTCTGGGCTTTGAAAGGTAGCTGTTTGAAAGGGTTGATCTCTTGGAATAATATTCTCTGTGCAAGGAATTGACTATGATGGAACAGAGGAAAGCCATAAGCAGCAAAATTAACATTACACAAATATGCCAGCTTCTATCTCACCCCTGATATGCACTGCAATGAATAGACCAGTTCTCCACATGTGCAGGCCAAAGAGACAGTCTACTCTAGTGTTGGGAAGCAGGCCCCCAACAAATGAGAGAAGTGGCACTGGTGACATTGTCTCCTTTTAAATCTCACCAGCAGAAATAAAGTATCTTTATCCCAAAGCTCAGTAACTTGAGCATTCACCAGAGATTGGGAGACTTGGATTCTCCTTCTACACTGCCACAGTCAATTCCCACTTCACGTCTCATCTCTTTGGAAATGACCCCACACAAAAAGACTCTCCCCTATAGCTATTTGGAGTTTTGCACTTTGTTAAACATAAATCCACATGATCAGAGAAGAAACACGGTGAGATGACAACCTTTTCTTTGCATATGTATTTTACAGGCAAAATCACTTACTGAAATCCCCAAGTTGTATTTGTGCAAAGTTCATAGCTTCAGCAGGTGGCAGCCCCAGTGCATAGCTACCCAGCTCCTTTCATAGGAGGTGAGGCTTGTGAGTTTGCATCTGCTAAGGCAGAAGTTGTTCCACCTGCTAAGGCAGTGATCTTATGCCTGATTTACAGGACAAAAGAGGCTCAGTAGAGTAACAGGTAAAGGAGTGATCTTCTGTTAGGAAGAAGGGAAAACAAAAAAAAAAAGGCATAAGTCCTCTGAAAAATGTTCCACGGTTGGGCACACCCCTTTGTAGCCTGGGTACAGTGCATGTGCCCAGAGCAAGGGATTTAAGGCATGAAACTGCCCCCAACATTTTCATGTTTTCTGACAGATAGCAGAGCTCCATTAAGCCTCCTGCTTTGATAGTCTCCATCTGGCTCTTCCCTGATACTAACTGTTCAGCCTGGGCATAACTCAAAGCAGGCAGATTCCTCTAGGAAGTCCAGTTACATGAGAGTTTTGCCCTGCAACCCTTAGTTTAGTGTGCTTGAGCCATTTTGCAGACATGAGCCTCACAGCCTTACCAAAGACTTCATATTCAGTCAGAGTTTGACTCTTCGTCTCCAGTCCCATGACATCACTGAAAGATTTTACTGTAACAGTATATTTTCCCTTGTTGTATTTATTATTGCTTATTTTCATTATAGGTACTTCACTTTAACAAAGCTGAAGGAGCCAGAAATGTCACCACAACCATAAAAATGCAAGTCTATTCCAAAACACAAGAGCATCTATCAAATCGATGTGCCTGTTTCCAGAAGGTATCTCACCAAATCTAGTGATCAAGCTATGGGCATGGTCACATTTTCTCTTGCTTGTCTTTTCCTCCCACATTTGCATTTGCTTATGTTTGCCTTCCTCAGATGTAGTGTACACAATTAATTGGTACAGCATCCTGTGATACCTTCATCTAATGCAATACTTATTTCAAGCTTCCCCTTTTTAGGAAGAATTGCAAAAACTGACCTCAAATTTGCAAAATTTAAAATTTTATGTTACCATTCTTTGTCAATATATCTGTTGATATTTACCCTTTAGTTTTGAGAAGATATTTCCTTCTTAAATTATTAGTGTTAAAAATTAGCTATTTAGCAAAAACAAGTTCTTTGAACAGGCATGGTGCCTACGTCAGAGAGATAATCACAAGTACAGAGCTGCTCTCCCACACATTTGATTGCAGCATCAAGACAATGAAAACCAGAGTATTATCTTTCCCAGGCTACCGATGCTTGGCAGGTGGCCTTCTTCAGAAAATAGTCTCCATTTCAGTTGACTAGTTAACAAAATAAACTGAAATGTTGGAATTTCCCAAGGTAGACCAGCTGCATACAATAAATCTTAGAGAAACGCAAATCATATATTCCTGAGATATTTCTTTGACACAGTGGCAGGCATCTTGTACCAAAGTATTAGTAATTTAAGATAGCAGAAAAACACAGAAAAAGCAAATGTAATCCTTCTGAATCAGTAAAAGCAGGTTTTCCTCCTTGACAATTCAACCATGGTAGCATCAAGCTCTGTTCCCTGCTCTTTCCCATTATCCCTATTTCTCTGTAAGTAATTTCCCTGCAGTCTGCCCACAGAGCCCCAGCGGCTGCAAGTTCTGATGAATGGGAACTTGGATCTGCATCCCACAGCCAAATCCTATGGCAGGAAGATTTATTTTAGGGGTTACGTCAACAATCCATTTACACTGCACAGGAGTGGGATTGTTCATCATGAGTAATGCTTGTCTGAATTGCAAGAATTGCAGAGTGCTGAGGGTAGGGCAAAGGAACCATTCTAACAGTTTAAAAATTTAAGTGTCTGTTCATGACTCTGATTCTGATGTAGTGACAAGATTAATACAGCACAGGTCCAGATTTTTAGTTTACTAATTCACAGCTTAACTTCCTTGAGTTTGTTAGAGAGTTTGAGTACACATTCATTTAATCCTGTTACTTTAATATAATTAATTTACTGCAATTGCTGCAACATTAAAAAATTCACATAATACTAACATTAAGAGCAAGATTAAGAAATGTAGGGGCAAACTTTCCATGTAACACAATCAACTTCCATAAACAGAGTCATACAGATCAATCTTCAGGCATAGTTTAACAATTACATTCTGTCTCTCACTCTCTGAATAAACTTAGTTTCACAATCTCCACTTAGAAACCCTTAAATGTTTTACATAGTTCACGTTCTTACCACTTGCATTCTGAGACACAGTGTCTATACCATGTCTGCAACTTTTAATACTTTCAAATGATTCTTTTAGTAGCTGTCTGGTTTAGAACACTTCTTATTTTACAATACAAGTAACAGATCACCTCAACAGAAATACTTTCCATGGAGATGCATGAAGGAAGACATTAGAAATTCTGAACTATTTTACACAGCAGATGAGTAACTTTTTTTTCCTTTTCTCCAAGACAGAAATAGGTAAAACAGATAATGTTCATCCTGGGTTTAAAGCACTCAACTTTGAAATCAACAAACCCACGAAAAATTACCTGCTGAAAAGTGTCAACCAGTTATATGGAGAAAAAACATTGCCTTTCAGTAAGGTAGGTAGTCATTTATTTGGATTATTTAGTGCCATTTAACCTTTATGATCTATCTATGACAACATACCATAAACTATATGCTTTTAAATATTTTCATTACATCTGCAAATCATGTTGTTATCTTGAAAATAAATATTTTCTGTGAGACTCTTCCTGAGACTTTAGAACCTGAAATTTTAGTTTTAGAGGATATGTATCTAATTGCAGAGCAATTTGCAGATGTGGCTAGGTGTAAACATTTAAATTGAGTATTTCAACTAAAAATACTTTGTTCCTTTGACAAAATGCTGTGCTTGTAGTCTATGTAATTTTTATCACGTTTTCTCTCTATTTGGCTGTATTTATTAGCATTTATATATTAGCATTCATATGGCAGGCCACAAACATAAGACAGCTGTCTCTCTTGCACTGCAGGAATACTTACAGTTAGCCAAGAAATACTACAATGCAGAGCCCCAACCAGTTGACTTTGTGGGAGCAGCAGATGAAATCAGAAGAGAGATCAATTCAAAGGTTGAACATCAGACTGAAGGTAAGCTCCTGCCTCTCCTCTCCCAATTCAAAAAGAAGCAATTTCAGCATTGAACAAAGTCTCTGTACCCAAGAGGGCCAAGGCAGGTAAATAATTCACGTCAGAAAGGTAAATCAGAGCAGTTTTCCTAAAGCAGTCATCCATTGACAACCCTTTCGTAAAATCAGTGTCCTCCATCTGAACATGTGAGGAATGTGGCTTACTCTTCTTTGTAAACAAAGAGTACCCCAGTAATCACATACGTGCAAATAATCTCAAGCTAGAAGCATGCTATGTCAGCACTTACAATTTCCCTGGTTTTTATCTGCAGAAATTGTGCCAACACTTACTCCACAACATAAAACTGCACCAATGTGTAAATATCCTTCTGTTTTCTCTAGGTAAAATCCAAAACTTGCTGCCTCCTGGATCCACTGATTCGCTCACCAGACTAGTGCTGATAAATGCGCTCTACTTCAAAGGAAACTGGGCAACAAAGTTCAAAACTGAAGCTACCAGGCAAAGGCCTTTCAGAATAAACACGGTACGGGAATATACTGACCTATATCCTAGACTGCAGGCAGAAAAAGCAGTGAAAAAGATGAGGGAGATAAATTCCTGTCAGTCTTTAAATCCATATGAAATCTGGCACGAAAGTTATGTCATCCAATGCATACAGTATATTTTCTTCACCACAAAGAAGAGTGAAAGAAGTCTTCTGTACAAAGACTGCACACACATACTAGCACCTGAGCCACAAGTAAATTTTTCAGAAGCCTACTTGAAACAAGCTTCCATTCTCTGAAGACAGGGAAAACAAAGAGCTGAACCAAAGCCATGTGGGTTAGCTCCTTGCATTTTCATTTTTAAGCACATGACAAATCAGAGTAGAATACGGCTTCCTATAATAGATGTCATCTGAGACAGCTTAGATAGCCTGCCTAGCCTTCAAGTGCCTTTCTAGAAGACCAGAGTTCCTCTGTAGATCCTGTGTCCTACCACTTGGAGCCATAAGGATGTCTCAGACACACTGGGCAGCTTGTACAGTAAATATAGTAAACTTCCACTGTACTACTTTAATGCAGTCCTTTACTGTCCAGTCAGAGTGCAAATGGCAAACATCTATTCTGATTTGTTGCAGCATACAACTAAACCAGTGCCAATGATGCATGTGAGTGATAAATTTAACTGGACCTACGTGGAATCAGTCCAGACTGATGTTCTTGAGCTTCCATATGTCAACAATGACCTCAGCATGTTTATCCTGCTACCAAGTGATGTCAGTGGCCTACAAAAGGTAAAGCAACTGAGAACATAAATCATGAAAAAAACAAGAGTGTAATTATTTACTTATTTTATGCATGTGTGAGGTAAAAGACCAGGTTGCAGTCATGTTTCTAGGAAGGAGGGTTCTGATCAGGCTCAAGGAAAAGCAAACCCCAAACTTGGTCCAGCACTGCGAACTTGAACTCCTTGGAGCTCAGACCAGATTTTTTACTCTTGGCAGCTGCCATTTCTGTGGCTCCTGGTATTGATCAGTCCTGGAAATAGGTAACCCAAACCCTACAAGACTGTCTCTTCCTCCAGCTAAAAAAATTGAGGACAGAAAGACAGATCTGTTGAGATTCACTGTCTGTACTGATTCAGACAGATACGATTTCAGACCAAAAAAAACCCCAAAAACAAAACACCACAAATTGAACAGCCTCCATTACTTTCCAGGAAGTCCAGATCTTTTATAGGTATATATATACATATATATACGTATATATACATATATATACGTATATATATGTATATATATGTATATATATATATATGACACTGCCACCTTCTGTAAAGAGATGGATCCTGCCTTTGGGTAACAAACTCATTAAATTCTCATTTATGATACTGGGTGTTCTGCAGAAAAAAAGCTCTTTTCAGTAAATTCTAAAATGCTGGGAAGACAGAAATGTGAAAGCAAATCAATCAGACTACTGTTCCTTGACACTGATGTTTTTGTCCTACAGCTATTTAAGCCTGCTACATTCTTGGACAATTACTGAAAACAATTCAATACTGCACTGACTACAGAGCAACATGTTCCTTTAGTAAAAAGTATCACAGAATTGGTCCTGTTTTTTTGTACTCTTAAAACAGTTTGAAAAGTTCTCCATTTAGAAAAGAGAAGAAATAGCCCTTAGTGCACAGGTTTTTGAACACTCTGTAATTTTCTTATTCTCTTTTTACTAACTGCAGCTAGAACGAGAACTGTCTTTTGAAAACTTGTCTGCATGGATGAGCCCAGAATTAATGGAGAAAATTAAAACGGAGGTTTATCTGCCCAGGTTCACGTTAGAAGAGAAATACAACCTCAAATCTACTTTGAGCAGGATGGGGATACAAGATGCCTTCACTGAAAGTCAAGCTGATTTCACAGGAATGTCAGAAAACGGTGATCTGTTTCTGTCACAAGTTTTCCACAAGTGTTACCTGGAAGTCAATGAAGAAGGCACAGAGGCAGCAGCTGCTAGTTCAGCATCACTGGCATCGCGAAGCCTTGGTGCTGCTATTATTTTTGTGGCAGATCACCCTTTCCTCTTCTTTATCAGACATAACAAGACTAAGAGTATCCTCTTCTTGGGAAGGTTCTCTTCACCCTAGAATCTCTACTACTACTAAACAGGCTTTTGCAACAAGATACACATCACACCAAATACACACCATGAAGAGCACCTCAGTAGTCTGTGCACTTCCTAATTTTACTGTACTATTGACAATCTTTCAATGTTAGAAAAGAGCACATACTAAAAACATCTAGAATTCAAGCCCCTGGCTCATTTTCCTGGCCAAAGAACCTGACAACAGTAGCACACCACTATTAGCACCAAACTGTGCACAGAACAACAGTGACGTGTCTTTTCAGCACTTTCTGAACCAGAACGGCCACAATGCAGAACAGACTAAGTTGATCTAAAACAGTAATTCCCAGCACACTTGCTTTGGTACATAAGAAGAAAAGAAACAAGAAGAAACCCTGCAGAACACTGCTGCATCTCCCTTGGTTTGAGCTCACTATGCTGGTCATCCCAGGACGACTACCTCACCCATATTCTTGACAGTTTTATACCACCTTTGCAGCCTGGCACAGCTGGTAATGAAGTAAGGCTGCAAAACCCTCTGTGTTCCTGATAACAATGCTTCTTTCTTGCATGCAAAGGGGCTAACACATGTACTTTCTAATCTCTGTCACACAGCAATCAGGAAATATTGAATGACACTATGGAATTGGAGGAAAATAAAACACACGTGCCTTGAAACCTTCTCCTTTGTAACTTTTCATGTATACAATACTGCTGCCAGTCCAGCACTGCAGTGCTTTACTCTCACTTTGCTTTGCCCCTTATTTCACTGGTTTGAGGCAAGATCAAATTGGAAAAACAAGCTTGTAGTACTAACTCCCTAAGTGCTTTCTGGAAGACTACATGCAAATCTCCCAGTACACATTCACTTCTGTCACAGCTCTTTCTCCTAAGGGGAGTGTCCTAATTAGCCATGCATGTTTGCAGAGGATGATCCTAGCTCTCTGAATACACAACAGAGAGCAAAGGACTCGGTCTCTTACAGGGCTTGCACACACCAACAGCATCTTACTAGAAACATCTCTTCTTTGGACAGCAGGAGTCCCTTTTCCTAACAGAGAGGGGAGTGCTGACTGTCTCCAAGTCTTTTATGTTTTCTTCCACGTGGCCAGCTGCTTCCAGGGTCCCTCTGGCTCTGCTTCCCAAATGGGAAGGAGCATAGGGATAAAGTGTTGTGAAGCAAGTGTTTTTTTCTGTCGCTATACAACCTCAACAGCACTGCCTTCTCCCTTTATCAGCTGTGAAACATGACACAGGATCCCTCTGCATTCAGGTGTAATTCTGCCATGTCCTGTTTCACCTAATGCACAGGTTTCATGTCCCCATGGCCAAGCCTCTAAAGCACTTTCTGATGTGCCTCAGGAATAAAGACAAGAAATCCACTCCTGGGAGGCCAAGGAGGAACAAAACCATGACAATATGCACGCAAACTCACTCAAAGTCAATGGAAATGTGAGTCATCTTTTCTCCCTCCAACTATTTGAAGCACAATTGCAAAGATGACAGAATCAATGTCCTCTTGGCAGTGCCAGATCATTACAAGTGGCAACAGACACAGCACTTGAAGGGTCAGCTACACATTGGGGAACAACCTTTTCCCAGGGTGAGCAGCACAGCACTGGAGAAGGTTACCCAGAAAGGCTGGGGAATCTCCATCCTTGGAAGGGCTGTGGGTCACCTTATCTACTGATGGCCCTGGTCCAAGCAAGAAGTTGACCTCTGGATGTCCCTTTCAATTGAGATGTGATTTTCTCTCTCTTGTCAACATCCATTCTGCCTTGTCATCTCCCTTTCTCATCCTCCATGGCATCCTTCCATCCTCACTAGCAAAGGAAGCTAGGTTGCTCACTCTCAGCATACTTCTCTGGGACTTAGAGTCTCCTAGCTTGGGCTTTCCCACCACCTATCCATTCAGCTGACCTTTCTCCTATCCTGATTTCTTGAGGACTTACTCATTGTAATAAACCCAACACTTGTTTAATTTTTTGCATTTCTTCATTGCCTTGCACAACATTGATTTCTGCCACTTTTTAGAAGACTTGACCCACTCAGTTCCTGTAATCAGGCTTGCAGCAAAATGCTTAGCACACAGTAGTTTCCTTCCCTTCCCCTGTTCCCCAGGGTCTTACAGTTGTTGCCACCACCTTCTTCTTCCACCACTCAACAGCAGTCCGGCTCTCTCCTGGAACTGCAGAGTGACAACTACTGTGCCATGTTTGTCCCTGTTGTACTTTTTCACTCCATCCTTCCTCCCACTGGGGTTGTTTCAGTCTTTGCCCACCTTCACTACATGCAAGTACTGTGCACTAACTCAGCGTTTTGCAGTGTTTCTTTCAAATTATTTCCAGCCATTGTTGCAATGAGATTTCTTCACAAACACAACCAGCGGGGAGTCCTTACCTTACCCTGAATGGTCCTCCATGGCTTTGCTTCTGTCTATGCTTCTAATGATCTTCCATCTGAAGCTGGACTGCCAGTGCCCAATCACTAAGGTTGGCATTTTACGCTGACGTACTGTATTTGAAACCCAGGAGTCACAGCTGCACAAAGCTGGATAGGAGAATCAGACCTACAATATTTGCTTATATCCAGAAACTAAAACCAGGCATTCTATTTGTGTAAGCTTTTTACTAGTAATTTAGTTTAACCAACAGACCAGTTGTCTCCACGCCACCAGGAGACCATTGGAATGGGTGAACTGTTCTGCTATCCTCTCAGTAGACTATTGTGGTGTAACAACAGAACTGAGATTTTAATTCCGTTATCCTTTTGAAATCTAAAACTGAAAAGTGACAAGGTCAACAAGGAGAACAAAATTATGTAAGATCTTTTGGGGATTTGGTAGAAAGGAGCATTGGGTAGGCGGAAACAACCTGCATGTAGGGGAGAAGGAAAGGGAGGTGCAAGCAGTACTATATTTCTAGTATTCATTGCTTAACACACATAAGCAGAATCTGACCAAGGACAAGACTAAAGACATCTCTCTCACGGGATCAGAGGTAAATATTTAAACCAATTTAAGTAACTTTTTTAATGTTTTAAAAAAGTGATCTGTGGCTTGCATGACTATATAAGTAAAATACAATATACCAGTGTTACAGTGCGTTATTCTCGCCTCATGTTTTTCTAGATGTCAACTTTTAGAGAAAACAAACCTGTGAGGCTAAGGAAAACTGCTAATTGGGGGAGGACTGTTCATAAGAATGAAAGTTTTCTTAGGGCAGTAACTGTCTTATTAATTAAAACCTTCAGTTTGGAAAAAGACATACATACTTCAGGTGAAGAAAAGACCAATTTCATTCTGCAAAGGCACAGAACTGCACAATATCAGACCAGGGTCTCAGAGGAGTATTCATTAGTAAAAAACAGAGACATTTCCATCCTGATGCCCTCTTGGTTGTGTTCTTTAAGGAAAAAATAATCACTCTATGGTACAGATTTAGTACTGACAACAGACTGATTGACAGAAGAACTATAGTAGTTTGGCAATCAAACACTTGATAAATACCTACAGAGTTCAGAGATTGCCCCACAGTTTCTGTAGCTCCATTCTATAGATATAAATCTTAATAATAATAATAGCAACAACAGTATTTCTGGTCTCTTGACTGGAAAAAAATGAGGCATATATGATTGGGCAGACAACCTAAAGTCTGGAATACTCATAACCTCAAGGAAGCTGCCTGTTTCTAGGGAGAATAAGATTGCTGGAACATACAGAAAGGGTGGTAGATACACATAATGAATAAAACTAATCTAAACCCAAATAAAAGCTTTACCATTCATGTTACTACTCAGAATGGGTGGTTGGCCAGGAAAAGCACATGAGCCTAGAATTAAGCCTAAATTCCTTCTCAGTAGCAGCTGTCAATCCTGTACGGATCCAAAAGGAAGTAGTGGAAACTCAGATGTGCTATGAATCTATGTACTAAAACTGCATTTAAATTCTTCTGTGAACTTTACTTTGATAAATCATCAGTTAAAGAAAAAAAGGAAAAAAAATGCAGCTTCCAAATCTGCACATTTTTGAAAACCAAAGGCAGAAATAAACACAAAGAAAACTACAGCTGTATAAAAGAGGACATAAGTATGATTATAGGAAAATATTATCTGGATAACAAAAAGCCTAAAAGCAATTGTGGCTCCTAACAGGTTCAAATTCTGTCTGTTGCTTCTTTCCAGGTTGTAGGAATGGAAGTGGTCTCAACATCTGTTGGCAAGTTTACAGTTGATCTTTTCAACAAGCTGAATGAGTCTAACAAGGGCAAAAATATTTTCTTTTCCCCTTGGAGTATATCATCTGCTCTGGCTCTGACGTACCTGGGTGCAAAAGGCAATACAGCAACAGAGATGGCAGAGGTAGGTTGCTCTATGAAGCCTACATCCCATACAATACCTAGCTCCTGTACTGGCTGCAAAATTTAGCATGCTTTAATGCTGCATGGCCACACTGCTGACTCAAGGGCTCAAAGGGAGCTGTGATGCCATTTGAGATCTTTAAGTCACACCAGTTCTTTCATGTCTATTTCTTACCTTTGGAAACTCTGGTTGCAGGTCCTTCATTTCACTCAAGCAGCAGGAGCTGAAGGTTCTTCTTCTGTGGCCAGACCTTCTCGAGGGAGACCAAAGAGAAGAAAAATGGTATCTATGAGAACTGAAATCCCAAGATAAAGAATCTCCAGAATAAAAATATCCAGATACAGCTTTAAAGGGCAGTATTTCTTGTCTGCACCCCTCTTTAAAGTACAAAACCCAATATACTTCACAACAGGTTCAAGTTCAGTTCCTTTCACTCACTCAGACTCTCAGAAACATGGAAGGACAAGTCACTGGGGTAGTCTGGAAGGTTTGCTATAAGGCAAAACAGTTAATTGAGTCATAAACTGAGCCCTACAAATTGCAGTGATGGTAAACTTAGAAAAATAAAGAGAGAGGAGCCCAAATCCTTCTCCCACATGCATCACTTAGCATGTTTTGAAAACTTAACGCAAAAATACATTTGCTGAATATATGGTTTCTTTT